AAAATAAGAACAATCAAATCTGTAAAATTTAATGACTTATAGAGAATACAAAAAGAACGGTATAATAATTTATAGCAAAAGTATTACTAATATATAACAACCTATAAATTGAAAATAATGATAAACCCTCAAATTTCAACAACAATGAAATAAAACAGAAAACAAATGTATATCTATAAATTAAAAATAAAATTAGAAAAATGGTAGAGTGCAGCCAGCACCATTTAAAAGTGTTTAAGAAAAAAACCTTACTTTTAGAAAATTAGGATTTTAATCATCACACCAACATATACATTCTCTTTTTTAGAAAAAAATGACATATTTATTTAAAGAAAATTTTTAATTTTTCTATGAGAAATAAATAAAAGGAATATGAATTTTATAATTATTTCTTTTTTTTTAAATTAACAAATTAGGCAAATTTCTCCATGGATGTGTTTAAAAATTGAGATAGAAACTTATTTACACAAATATCTAAAATTTTCTAATTTTACACTTTTAGATTTCTGCATGTAGGATTTTATTTTAATTCTGATTTTAACCTTATTAATTGCATTTACATTTATTATAGTTATTTGTTTTTTAAATATAAAAGATTTAATTCCATAAATTATTATCATAATCCTTTAATTATCGTGGGTCCATACTAATTTTCAACACAAATCCCTTAATTCACTCCTTCAAAACCGTAATTTACTCCTTGATTTTCTCTTAATTCACCCTCACATTGGTGCTCAACCTTGGATGATAATTCAAAATCAAACATTTTTGAAGTCTCAATAAACAAATATCTGCATATTCAAAATCACAGTATATATCCACTTATATATCCACATATATACATTCAAAATTACTATAGTATATATCTGCATATTCGCATATATACAAGTTGAGTTATAAGATATATCCACTTATATATCCGCATATATACATTCAAAATTACTATAGTATATATCCGCATATATACAAGTTGAGTTATAAGATATGTCTTAATTAAACTCACTATAATATATATCCTCATATATACAATAGTTCACACGAAATCAAAAATCGAAAACAACCGTTGGAATGCAAACCTTTTGATCGGGATAAACGGAGACGAACTACTTTGGCGACGGAGAAAAATGGAGGCGGCCGGAGATGAAGGTAGGTAAACATGAGTCGAAGATGAAGGCAAGTAGAAATGATCGAAGAAGAATGACGCAAATCTCCTTTCGAACGGGATAAATGGAGACGGACGACGGAGAAAAACGGAGTCGGTCGGAGAGGAAGGCAGACAGGGACGAACGGTTGGAGGAAGAAAAATGGACGGTCGAAAATGAACGGTTTTGGAGATTTTTTTTATTTTGAAAAGTATAATTAAACACATTTTAAGGGATTTAAATTGAGGTAGTTATAATAATACGTGTGATGAGTACCAATTAGATGTTTTGTGAGAAAATTGTAAATTTTAAATCTACTAATCCCAAATGGGCCGTACGTAAATCCGCCCGTCCCTCGTTACATTTTTTTGACGAATGGCGAAGATTTCTGTGAACCACATGCGATGGAAGCCATGGAGGACATTAACAACCAACGACTTCATTTCACTGTAATCTCAAATCTTCCACTTCCAAAGGTGCAAAATCCGCCGGATTAGACCAGCAAAACGGCTATCAGATTCATATGGCTGCTCCACTGGTGGAAGGCGCAGCCGCCGCAGCTCTCCGGTCGGTGATGCTCCGAGTCCGGCAGGTGGCTGAGCGGTCTGGCCGGCGATCCGATCAGGTCCGCGTCGTGGCAGTCTCCAAAACGAAGCCTGTGTCGCTCATCCGCCAAGTCTACGAGGCTTCCCATCGATGCTTCGGAGAGAACTACGTCCAGGAGATTATTGATAAAGCTCCTCAGGTTGTTTTCTTTTTCTAGGGCTTTGATTGGATTTATGTGCTTGAATTCGTGACTTGCGTCTGAGATTCTATTTGGTCTCAGCTTCCTCGAGACATTGAATGGCACTTTATTGGGCATCTCCAGAGCAACAAAGTTAAATCGCTTCTGGGTACAATCCGTCTCCCTCCTCTTCCATGGGCTTATGATACAACTTTGTTTGTTTCGAGGAACCCTCCGAAGGCTTTATGATTTGTTTGATTTTCTTGATTCTCTTTTTAATATTTGATAACTCTTCTATAACAGAAAATCCCAGGGGATAAAATATTTGAACTGTAGAATTTGTCTTTTCATTTACATGTCACATTTCATTGCTCTGAGGGGCCTTTTCTTTTCCCTGCAGCTGGAGTTCCAAACCTGGCCATGGTTGAGGGTGTAGATAATGAGAAGGTAAAGATTTAGTGCAATGTCTATTATATTTCTTCAAGGTGAGATTTCTTTCATGTTTATTATTCATGAAATAAGTTTGTGCCACTGTTTACGGTTTTCCTTTTGTTGTTTGGTCTTGTACATGCTGCCTTTAGAAATGGCACTTGAAATGTGCTATAAAATTCTGCGTGCAGCACGATGAGCTAGTACTTGTTCCTATTTTGGTTAAAAATGACTTGCATATACGATGTAGTTGGTAAAATTTATGGTCTTTTCTCCTAATATCGTGATAAATTTTCAGATGATCAGAAAAGAAAAGAAAAAGAAAAAAGAAAATATCTAACTGCTTATTCCTCTGCCACTTAAGAATACTTCATGTTCTCATTCCACTGCAGCTTGCAAATCATCTCGATCGTGCAGTTTCATACATCGTAAGGGATCCTTTAAAGCTTCTAATCCAAGTAAACACCAGTGGAGAAATATGTAAGTTACCTGGTTCATTGATGATATTTGTTCGAGATCATTCTTATGATTGGTTGAATGAATCTATTGTTTGAACATATTTATAAATATGGAAGAAAAATTGGATGAGAGAGTAGTATTTGAGCCATTTTGATTGCTGAGACATGGCAAGTCTATTAGGAAAAATGGGAAACTGATTTGAAAGGTTTAAACACAGCGCGTCCATTTGTTATTGCTTAATATGTTGTTTTGGTAGAATATAAAATCACTTTGAGATGCATCCAAAATATAGTGTATCCTAAACTGTGGTAATGCTGTCGACTCTAATATGCCCTAGGTTGTTGGAGCTTGACTTGACTAATAAGGGCTCGCTACTGGTAAATGCATTCAATCAAATCAATCCTTTTACCCATTAACATCTTAGAAGATTTCACAAAATCGTTATCATAGAGGGTGAGTCGGGACCTAATATCAAGCCGAAAGGCGCCATCGATAGACAACAAGTGAAATGTTGTACATCTTGAAATACTTCTTATACAGATGTGTTGATATAAACATAAACATTTTTTAGTCGAGGAGTGCGGAGTGCAGAAGTTAGTCTAGACACTGATTGATATCAAATATATATAAACATTCATTGAATGTTATCTTCACTTTACGAGGAACATCTAAACAACCTCTTCCTCCTTCCAAAAAAAAAAATTATTTTATTCTCATCAAATGACCCTCCGACTTCAGCAAATAAAGCTTCTCCTGAGTGTCATAGTGACCAATGGGATGACACTATCATAATTTACTCGATGTTCTCATTACTTTGATTATCTTTATTGTGTTGTTCAAGCCACATAACTTTGTCTACGTCTATCAAATTTTACATCCTATAGTAACTTTCTTTTTATCAAAATTACCCCACGAGCCTTGATGATGTCCTAGCCTCAAGATTGAATTTTGAAACACCTGCTCTTAGCCAGAATATTTTTGGATGAACATGGTCTGTATAACAGCATATTTTTAATGATTATATCATTATTTTCTATTTAATTATTTGGAGATTTATTATAGGCATAGGACTATATGGAAAATGACTCAAGCGAAAATTTGGCAGCAAAATCTGGTGTTGATCCTTCTAGATGCGTCGAACTTGCTAAGCATGTGAAGTTATGCTGCCCACATCTTGAGCTTTCTGGGTTAATGACAATTGGGATGCCAGATTATTCTTCCACTCCAGAGAACTTTAAGGTGATATTTTTGTACTTCTTACATGCTGGAAGGCGTGATAATGTTAATGAGAAGGAATTTGTGCTCCAAATTTTATAATAAGGATCTTTTGAAGGGAAGAAAAAAGGTTCGATCTACTTCAATGATATTTGTGGTGGTGTAATGAATATATTGATTTCATGTTTTCAAATGCTTCTGAACCCGACTAAAGAAAAAGAAAAGAAGAAAGGTTTCTGCACGCAAAGTTTCTTCTTCACTGTGCTTAACAATTATAGTTGTGGAGTTCTCCTGGTGTTCGTTTTTTCAGCATTCAATCTACTAAAGCCATACATTGTTTTCCTGACCTACCAGACATTATTGAAATGTAGAGCTGAGGTCTGCCGGGCACTTGAAATGGCAGAAGAGCACTGTGAACTGTCGATGGGAATGTCTGGTGATTTCGAGTTGGCGGTTAGTATTACTTAAACCTCCGTATGCTGCGTTTTTGTTTCTCTTCCTTTTTGATAACTGTCGGCTGCTTATTTTTATTGAAAATCAAGATGAAGTATACCTCAAATCGATCAAAATTTGTTCAATTCATTTCATAAAATTGAAAATGGCAAAATACATTTTTGGTTCAGAYTTCGTCTATTTGGTTCCTAAAGTTTCAAAAGAGACAATTTAGTTTTTGAAGTATGGAAAATTGTTCTGAAGGGTCATTGAGCATTTAACTATTAGTTGACTAATAGAAATATGAAAGGATGGTTAAGTTAATGACCGTAAATTGCTAAGTTAGCAAAATGTTATAATTTTCCGCTTACACCCTTAGGTGTGGAGATATCTAGGAGGTTGCCATTGGCATTACACATAATTTTTTAGCTTCATCAACAAAACAATTGGAAGTTGAATTTCTAGACATTTATATGATTGGTTTAATTCATTTGAACTCATAATTAAGAGTGAGGGGCAGCTTGTTGTTTATTTCATTACAGATCGAAATGGGCAGCACCAATGTGAGAATTGGATCCACCATATTCGGTCCAAGGGAATATGCAAAGAAACAAGCAGAGTAGCATCAAGATTAGTTTTCCTTTATTCATTGTTAAACACAACAATTTATTCATTGTTATATCCATATTAATTGTTAAACACAACATTGGATAAAAAAAGATTTTATAGTACACTAAAAATGAAGTCTATTTAGTATCGTTCCTATTTCTTATTTTTAATAAAGAAAAATAGAATTGCACGGCCTCAACATCTATAGAATGTTGACACGTCGATGGAAATTTAACATGAAGTGCATATTTGAGTTATTTAAATATGTTTTAGGGATACCTGCAACTATAGCAAAAATCTAATAATAAATTACAAATATGGCAACCATTTTTTTATTTGCAATTATAGCAAAAAAACAGAAGCACTACAAAAGAAAAAAATGGAAATTTTTTGCTAATAACAAATTACAAATATAGCAACCATTTTTTTTATTTGCAATTACAGCAAAAAAAAAAAAAAAAAACAGAGGCACTAAAGAAAAAATGGAAAAGTCATTTATGCCCGGGTGATTTTTTAAAATGAGAAACTCTCACATTTATATACTTTTCGCTATATCAGTGAAATACCTGAAATGAATATCACTGATATATTTAGTGCAATTAATATACATCATTATTGTTTTGATTCTTCTTTCCAACTTTTTGATTTATGGTTAGGCCTTTTTATAAATTATTACTTTGTGTTACGTGTGTACGCATTAGGTGTATCAGTTATTATAATTATATACCTAAAATAAAGCATATCATTGATATACTTGATATCTCAATAAGAAACATACAATGTTACTTCAACTAAAATCTTGAACTTAAAAGAAGATTTATCATTGATACCTAATATGATATCATTCGTATGTTTAGTGTGGTTGATGTTTTTATATCAGGTATATTAGTAATAGAATTGGTATTTTGTATATCAATTATATAACTTGTTATTAGGCAAATCCAAGACACAATGCGTAGTAACTCCAGTCGACCACGTGGAGCGAGTTAGTAAAGAACAAGTAAAGGTCGAGTGCACTTGAGCAAACCATACCAGAGACAACAGGTGGGCAAGGAGCATAGCTCCTTCTTGTCTGCCTCACACTGTGGGTCACTATCTCTCTCCATATATAAAGAACATAACAACCTTAATCAAGGTGAGTCAATTTTTCCTACACATTTTCTTGTGAGAATTTGGCACACACTCTGAAGTAGATTCTTACCCTCGAGATTACTGCTCTTTTATTCGCTCCATACTCATTTTCTCATAACTTGAATTCTAACTTAAGCATCGAAGTGCATTCGACAAAGCACCTATGCTTGCGCGATTAAATGTGCCTACCTCGACTAGAAGCCTCGAGGACCACCCTAAGGCAATGGTCAGAGGGATGGCACCACAACAAACTGAGCGCGCCACTCCTACCAATGGCTCTAGGGACAACCTTAGGCCAAGGAGAAGAAAGGTAAGTCATCCACGGGCGTAGAAACTACCATAAGACTAAGGCCTACGAAATGAACGCCTCGCCAAAAAAAACATGTTCTCACCAAGACCATCCAACCCAAGGTGAAAGGAAGAGCATGTTGGAAACGAAGTAGTCCCTCACAACACAATTCAAGAGACAAAAGAAGAAGGTTGTGCTCTTACTCACACTAAATTGAAGAAACAAGAACTTGTATTTTGAAAGTGATTTTGCTTTCCTTGAGATTGATTACAAATGACAAATCCTACACATATTTATACTAGTAGGAAAATAAACCAAAAGACACTAATAGTAAATATCAATACATGTGACCCTTCACTAATACATGTACATTAATCAATATATCTAGTGATTATCGTATAATTCATGTATTTGTAATATGTCTAGATTAATTTTAACATCCTCCCTTAATCTAGACTTGAGCAACTCCAAGTTTTTCTCTAAACTTAACAAATAAGTCAAACTTCAACGCCTTCGTAAAAATATCTACCAGTTGATCTTAAGTCTTGCAATGCTTCACCATCACTTCTCCATCTTTAACCAAGTCTTTGATGAAATGAAACTTGATTCTAATATGCTTGCTTTTTCCATGAAAGACTGGATTTTTTGATAATGCAATGGTTGAACCATTATCACAAAATAAGACAGTCTCAGGTCTTTGCGTACACTTCAATTCTTTCAACATCCACCTTAGCCACAAAGCTTGACATCCAGCTGTAGATAAAGAGATGTATTCTGCTTCAGTGGTAGAAAGAGCAACAACGAGTTGTTTCTTCGAAGTCCATGAAAAAACTCTCGAGCCAATGCTAAAAACATAACCGGATGTACTTTTATGATCATCAACATTACCACCCCAGTCACTATCACAAAAACCAACTAACACTGATTCTGGAACTTTCTTGTAATGAATTCCAAGATTTCTGGTGCCAAGAATGTAGCAAAGAACTCTCTTACCTGCATCTCAATGACTTCTTTTTGGACTTGTCATGAATCTGCTTAACATACTTACAGCAAATAAAATATCAGGTCTCGTTGCTGTCAAGTACATCAAGCTTCCNCTATCACAAAAACCAACTAACACTGATTCTGGAACTTTCTTGTAATGAATTCCAAGATTTCTGGTGCCAAGAATGTAGCGAAGAACTCTCTTACCCGCTTCCCAATGACTTCTTTTTGGACTTGTCATGAATCTGCTTAACATACTTACAGCAAATAAAATATCAGGTCTCGTTGCTGTCAAATACATCAAGCTTCCAACTAAACTTCGATATAAGCTTTGGATCAACTGCTTCTCCAATATCATCTTTGCTCAATTTCAAATTTGCGTCCATGGGCGTGTTACAAGGAAAAGCATTTTCCATCCTGAACTTTTTCAACAAATCACCAACATATTTTTGCTGTGAGATAACAATCTCTTCATCCTTTTGATTGACTTCAATCCGAAGAAAGTAATGAATGAAGCCCATATCACTCATTTCAAATTCTTTTTTCATGGAATTCTTAAAGTCATCAACATCAATTTATCATTTCCAAAGAAAAGCAAATCATCGACATATAGTGAAACAATAAGAAACTTGTCATTTTTATCTTCCTTGACATAAAGTGCATGCTCATATGGACACCTTCGAAATCCTGTCTTCAAAAAGAAATTTTCAATGTGACTGTACCAAGCTCGTGAAGCTTGCTTTAATCCGTACAAGGCCTTTTTCAGCTTGTACACCTTCTCTTCTTCTCCTCTTTTCACATAACCCAGAGGTTGTTCAATAAATATCTCTTCCTTCAAGTATCCATTAAAAAAAATAGACTTTACATCCATTTGATAAACTTTCCACCCATTTTGAGCAGCCAAAGACAAAATCAATCGAATGGTCTCAATTCTGGTCACAGGAGCAAATATCTCTTCATAATCAACTTCATACTCTTGCTTCTAACCTTTTACAACAAGTCTTGCTTTGTATTTTTCAATTCACCATTTGACTTCAGCTTTGTTCTATACACCCATTTCATTCTAAGAGCTTGTTTATTTACAGGAAGCTCCAACAACTCCCATGTTTCATTTCTTTTTATGGCATCAATTTCTTGATCCATTGCAATTTTCCATTTTTCATCTTTAATCGCCTCATCAAAATTTATAGGATCAACACCGGCATATAATGCAAAATTAGCAAAATCATCAATTCTGCTAGTAGTATTATAAATATCTTGAATATCTCTCATTCTCCTTGGTGAGGTTTCTTCATCACTAACAGAAGATTGTAATGAAGATGAAGATGATGCAACTGACTGAATCCCTACTTGCTCCAAGTCTTGAACACTCCACATTCATCCATGTTAACATGAAATGGACTTTTAGCTTCACAAGCAACATCCCAATTCCAACATTCTTCTTCATTAAAAATCACATCTCGACTAATAATAATCTTTCTCGACACAGGATTATATAATCGATAAGCTTTAGAATTTTCACTATAACCCACCATAATACTTTTTTCAGATTTATCATCTAACTTTCCCCTTAGCTTATCTGGAATATGAGAATAAGCTATACTCCCAAAAACTCTCAAGTGGCTAACACATGGTTTCTCACCATACCATGCTTCATAAGGAGTCATACCTGGAACACTCTTTGTTGGAGCTCGATTCAAAATGTAAGTAGTACATGCAACATCATCTCCCCAAAATTCATCTGGCATCTTTTTGGCTTTCAACATACTCCTAACCATCTCCATGATTGTTTCTGTTCTTTCTTTCTACAACTCCATTCTATTGTGGAGTCATCCGAGCAGTCTTTTGATGATGAATACCATGATCCTTGAAAAAGTTAAAAAAAACTATATACTCTCCACCGCAGTCAGATCTCAACATTTTTATTTTATGGCCACTTTAATTCTCAACATAAGCTTTAAAAGTTTTAAAACATTCAAATGCTTCACTTTTCTCTTTCAGAAAATGAATCCACAATTTTCTGCTAAAATCATCAATGAAGGTTATGAAATAACGATTACCTCCGTTTGATGTTGTGCGCATGGGACCACACAAATCAGTTCAAGAGGTTTGGAGGCTCTCCAAGCTTTACCAATTGGAAACGAATCCCGATGGTGTTTTGCAAGAATACATACCTCACAAATATCTGTCTCATGGTTGATATTTTTAATGCTTCTCACCATATGATTTTTGCACATATATGATAATGATCCAAAATTCAAGTGATCGTATCAAAAATGTCAAAGCCAAGATGGATATTTTAATATGCTAGTAAAGCAAGCAATTTGACCATATGATAATTTCAAAGGAAACGTTTTATTACCCGTCATTTTCACCTTGGCAATAAGAACACCACTTTGATCTTTGATTGCACAAACACCATCTTCAAATGAAACTTTGAGTCCTTGTTGGAGCAATTGATCAACACTCAGAAGATTATGCTTCAAACCCGGGAGATAGAACACATCCATAATTCGTTTGGTGCCTTTTTTTTTGTCTTAACGAGAAATCACCTCGACCTTTGACTTGCAATCTGGTATCATTACCAGTTTTCACTTCACTTTGGAAAGATTCATCCAAAGTAACGAATATACTTCTATTTCCTGTCATGTGGTTACTACAACCACTATCAAGGTACCATGTAGGCTCTTCAACATTTTCTTGAGCACTACATACAAGAAATAGAACTCCTTCATTATTTTTCTCCTCCTTATTCATCATGGTAGAATTATAATTTCCATCTTCATTTCTCAGA